GACCTGTGGACAGATACTGAAACGGGGAATCCAGCCAATGTATCAACAGGTAGTAAGTTGGTAGCTTGCTGTCTTTTGGCACATTCAATTAGAAGTGATCCGGACCTCATACGTTTGATATGATTCTTAACATCACCGGCTATACCATACACTCCTTTTGAAATCGCAAATGGATTCGATTTTATAGGTTGCTTATCTGGAGATTCTAGAACCAGAGGTCGACAGCCTTCATTAGCCTCATGATCATTGTCAAGTTGACGCTTTTTTTCAAGGGGGTTTCAAGAGCCATGTTTAAGTATAAAAGATTAATAAAGACGATGTTATATACAAGTGGATCTCCGACTTGCAGCACCAAGGATACTGGGATGATATACTCAAGCAGAAAGTTTAAACAAGTAATCAATGTACCAGATTGGCCCATGAGCCATCGCCTTCTGGGCATAAGACTCAAGGCAATTTAAATAGGACATATTTCAAAATCAAGTGTGGTTTATAAACAAAAATGAGCCAAGACCTAAAGTCAAAAATATTGTTCATAATATAATTTGTGCAAATACAATTGATGCACAGGGCTCGACATGACCAGCCGATTGGTTGAACCGGGCCCATTCAACCACCCGTCTAGGTGAAGTAAGGGGCGAAGTGGTGTGTTGGGCAAAGGAACACTGTTCCTGGAACCAGTGCCCTCAACCATCAGACTCCCGTCCTCCACCGACACAGGGGCGCAACCCACGGCAAACGGGTTGGTGGACTAAATATACCCCCGGGTCCACAATGGGGGGTTGAAGAGCGCTTAGCATTACCCAGCACCCGCCACGAGGAGGTGGCTCTTCACGGGTTCCCCGGAATATACATTGACGTGGGTAGGTGCTGCTTATTGATTCACCGGGACGGCTCAGATAAGCTAAGCGGGGACACACCTCCAGTTTTCCCTTTCTACAGTGTAGGCATTAGATTCCTCCCCACCTCTGAAACATAGGAAGGAAGTGAATGAAGGACGGTGAGAGGGGGACATGACATGTAGTGTTTAACGACAGTATCATTGCTGCTGAAGAAAGTATGTCACTGAAAATTTGACCACATAATTACAAACGCTATAAAAATTGTTACAGTCACTTCATGATTTATGTCCTACACTCAACTATGATAAATGCACCAAGTACAGTTCCATCAAATGAACCCGTGAAGGTCCGTGTTAGAATATTGATCTTCAGTAACCCATGTTTGTCGTAAGGGGCAACTAACGGGATCGGTGGTCAGGCTCACTGACTTGTTTGACACATGTCATCGGTTCCCAATTGCGCAGATGGATGCTCATGCTGTTGATCACTGAATTGTCTGGTCCAGACTCGATTATTTACAGACCGCCGCCGTATAGTTGGAATATTGTTGAGTGCGGCGTAAAACTAAACTCACTCACTAACTGATCTGTTATCAGAACCAATAAGTACATACTTACCGACAGTCTCTGATGCAGGCATTGTCGTAGATGTTCCCATTGGCGTCACAGACGGGCCACAGAATCAATGGGCATGCACGAAGTTTTTCCAAGGAATTGGCTTAAACAGATAGTCAGAACTCAAGTAACATCTGAGATATGTAAAATAGGGTTAAACGTCACCTTCAGAGTTATAGCACTAATATAACGACGTGCAAGCATGTGTATTTGACCTCGTCTACCTTTTCGGACGTATGCCGGCGGGGATCGAACCACCGCCTCCCGTCCCCAGATATACACTCTATCCACTAGACCACGGCCAAATGTCATGTAGCTTATAAAAACATGGACGCGACACATGTAAAAAGCTAAAGTGACTGCGCATTGCATGGAATACGAAATAGACTAATAAAATTCAGGACAAGACAACCTGCATAAGTTTCTGTTCCATGTTCAAGTATAATAGGTTCGCCATCTAACCTCAACGTCTCTTCTGACACATCTCTTCCACCATCAAACAATTTTACTTTTGTGGGTCAGTTTATAATAAAACCGTGCTATAAAGAAATGGACATGGTGGTAGAATGTGTAACATTTTAGTGACTTGAAGATAAGTTTTGCAGTTTTCAGGCTGGAAACAGAAGACGATTATACAGAGTTGATTCAGGTTGCAGTTTGTACAGGTACTTCGTTTTATGTTTACAACTGCTCGACATCTAATCTACATATATAATATAATATGCCATATCATGCTGGATCTATTTACCGCTGAGTCGTAAAGGGGCGGTGGTTAAAGTGTTCGCTTTAAAGCCCAAGTGGTTAAAGTGTGCGCTCGTCACGCCGAAGACCCGGGCTCGATTCCCCACATGGGTACAATGTGTGAAACCCATTCTGGTGTTTCCCGTCGTGATATTCCTGGAAAATTGCTAAAAGCGGCGTAAATCTATACTCACTCACGCACTGGAGACAATCCAGTGATTGATGGTATGAACAATGGTATGGTATGTACGGCGAGTCTCCACGCCTGCGAACCATATCGAATTGATGTTGCTGGAATATTGCTAAAAGCGGCGTAAGACCATACTCACTCACTCCTAAGTAGGCCTTCCTTACATTCGGCTTTTCTCCAGCATCGAGCGGATATGGTAAACGTCGTTTCACCCAGCTCACTCAGTTATTACCACTGATTGCTGTGAGCTGGTATGTTTTCTTTGAGAGGAGTTTTTGGCTATTGGATTTTAGAATATTGTAACTTCGTATATGTAAGAAAATACGATCTTCTCTCGTTTTTTCAGTGAGTGAATGGCTGTTTACGCTACACTGATAAATTTGCAATATTTATGATCGAGTCGTGACAAAAACACAAAGGTATACGTATATAACTACGTATATGTAAGAATGGGTTCAACGATCTCCTTCGCTCTCGTTTTGTGAGGAAGTGAGTGTTATTTTACGCCGCACTCACACAGTTACAATGACCAACGCGGGTACATTATTGAGTCTTGACAAAAACATAAACGTATGCTTACCACAAAGAAATGTTGCCACCAGCACGAGAACAACCGCTGTCTTCATCTTGTTCAGTCGGGAGTGCGTTTTTTCTATGCGAGGATGTAATGGGATGGTTGAGAAGGAAGGGACCACATGCCTTATATACACACGCATGTCTTATTGCTACCATTTACCTGATGGAGCACGCCCATGGACTACGATCATTATCTACATGAAGTAATTGAGCTGACATTTGGCATCAGGCACTTACTGCCTACTTAGACTGGGATTTATTGTACGTTAGACCTATTATATGGAACATTCGCTAAGAAGCGGTTTTGAAAATAAATACACACGTGTAACTTAATTAAGCACACACCCTACCCCCTGTTGTAGAACAGTAATATGACTCAAAAAGTGTCAGAACTAACATACTTTTGGAAGGGCAGAAATCAGGGTCGTAGCTACCATTATTAAAAAAACCGGGCTGAAACATGATTGTTGCTATAAAGGATGGGCAAGTCCTCAATAGTATCTAAATAAAAAGCTTTGCAACCTATCGTGCACGAAAAAATTGGATTGCTACGCGCCTGGGAATACTTGATTATTAGATTGAATAACTGACGACATAAAAACAACAACATGTAGGCAATAGTATAATTTGAATGCTCTGTACATGAGAAATGCCAGCACTGTTTATTTTGTGGAAAAATAATTCATTGAATCACGGGTCTTCGACGCGAAGAGCGAACGCTTTAACCAGTAGGCTACCCCACCGCTCCTGCTAATAATATGAAGCTTGATTGCCGGTATGAGGATGTTACAAGTCCGAGGGATGCTACACCAATCAGATTTGTGCGACAATCAGATTTGTGGGGTAGTCATGGTGACCATACTTTCCAGCATTGCTGATGTTCACGTTTTGTGTATTCTTCTCAGATTGCAATAATGTGTTATCATTGGTTTCATACCTTATATCCTCTAGTTTTGAGTTTCCATCAACACTGAGTTAGTTATTATTATTACTGTATTAAACATTTTGCATTTGATTTATAACGAATGGTGATTTATTGAATTTTATTCTAGCATGCCACTGTTGTGGTTGACTTGTCCACTGATAGGATTTTGGACTGTTTTAATGATACATTTTAAGGAATGAAGCAATGATGGAATACCGCGAGTGACAAGGGAGGGCGGACCGTGTTTAGAGGTGCTGCAGAGAGGGCTCGGATCGCTTATCTTTAGAACAGATAGTCAAATTTAAAATTGAAAAATGTCTACACTGTCCATTGAATCCATTTCTCATAGTTTCTTTAACAATGTCATTTTCCCTTCCGCCCGACCCTTTCTGTAATGTTTTTGTTTGTTTCTTTGTATGTTTAACGCAACACTTTGCAATAATCCAGCTATATGGAGGCGGACCGCATATATTCGAGTCTGGACCAGACAATCCAGTGATCAACAGCGTGTGCACCACATCCCGTTCATCGCCTCATTGTACATGGGTTGCTGAAGATCAATTTTAACCCAGATCTTCACGGGTTCCTTTCTGTAATGGGAAAACAATGAAGCAATTCTCGATTTTCTCCACGGTTCAGATCCGAATCTCCCATCTGACTGGGGGTTCTTTTAAATTTAAGGGGAGTATTTGTTTCTATTAAAATTATATTATGTTTTCAGGGACAAAGCATTATTATGCCATTTTTCGAGCTAGAAGTTCCACAGACATTGAACTGAACATTTTGTTAGCGAATGTGTCACAGCCGAGTGAACTACATGGTGATTGTACATTTAGTTTTGCAGTCATGTATGACCAATATTTATAAATACACTTAAGGTTAATCAGACTTGTTCGTGTTGACTCAAACCATACTATTACAGGTACAAGAATACAAGAATTCCGTGTCCTCTACAAGATAACAGGATCCACTGATCTACCTAATGCTTACTACTCACACCTAGTGTGACCCTTTACACCCTCTTTGTGTTATCAAGGGGAAAACACTGATTGAAATTAGAAGACACAAGATCATACATTAATAATCTAAAACCATAAAGGATAAAGGCCACCTTCACATTTCCACAAAACTTTATTTAACTACAGTTTTAATTCCGGAATAGACGTGATTAGGAGTGTTGACTTGCTTGCAGATGTACCGGGACGGCTTAGGTAAGCTAAGCGGGGACACATCTCCAGTTTTCCCTGTCCACAGTGTAGGCATTCGATTCCTCCCCACCTCTGAAACATAAGAAGGAAGGATGGTTAGAGGGGGAGATGGTCAGTAATATTAGTATTGAAGAAAGTATATACTTGAAAATTCTACATGACTAATAAATACAAACGTTATGAAACCGTTACAGTCGCTGAAACATTGCATCAGTAATGTGCTACACCCAACTATGATACATGCACCAAGTACAGTTCCATCAAATGAACCCGTGAAGGTCCGGGTTAGAATTTTGATCTTCAGTAACCCGATGCTTGTCGTACGAGGCCACTAACGGGATCGGGTGGTCAGGCTCGCTGACTTGGTTGACATATGTCATCGGTTCCCAATTGCGCAGATGGGTGCTCATGCTGTTGATCACTGGATTGTCTGGTCCAGACTCGATTATTTACAGACCGCCGCCATATAGCTGGAATATTGCTGAGTGCGGCGTAAAACTAAACTCACTCCATCAAATGACTGTCTCTGGTTTGCTTTAGCCTCCATCAAACATGGGTTTCCCGGCAGTTTCTGTTAGTAAGTAGCTGTTTTGTTGGTCACCTTGGTAACACCGGTGTTGGGTAACCGTGACCTACACAGGTAACACTGTAACAACCGAATCTTCAGTTCAGTAATTATTTTATTTGTGTGTTAGGGGCCTCCAGTAGCGTAATACCATGAGTTAAGTGAGTGACGTAAGCACTGATCTTGTACTAAAACCAATGGGTTCCAGGTTTCAATGCTGAAACAATGTGATACTATCAGAAATCCACAGATCCTGGCCATCTCGCTGTTTTTTTTACCACAGAGGGGCGGTGAGGTAGCCAAGAGGTTAAAGCGTTTGCTCGTTACGCCGAAGGCCCGGGTTCGATTCCCCATATGGTTACAATGTGTGAAGCCCATTTCTGGTGTCCCCCGCGTTGTGATATTGCTGAAAGCGGCGTAAAACCCAACTCACTCACTCACTTTTGCCACAAGTAATAAGTACTTGGAGCTAACCCGAAAAAAATGAGATACGATCAGAGAGCACTGTCACTAATCTCATACCATAAGCAAGCTGTAATTGGTCCCAGTGATGAGAGAATATGATACTATCACCAAAAGAGCCTGACAACCACTTAATCTTTACCTCGAAAAAAACAACAATGAAAAGGGCATCGGCCTGCTTTAAAATAGGCACTAATCACTCGCCATTGCCTGTTAATGTCGCCGTGATATTGCTGGAATATTGCTAAAGGCGGCGTAAAACCATACTCACTCACTCACTCCCTGGCCTGTTTGTTTATGAACTTTGATCATGCTGGGGAGTGGTATTCAGAGAGGTTTACAAATGAAATGAGAGTCTGTGGCAACATGAGTGGGCGACATGAGTGCCAAAAAGAACGTATCCTCATCGTACTGGCACTTAAAGGCAGTGACATACACACGATGGGTATTTTGTAATTGATCAGTGAATTATTAAACCTTTTTCAAACAATATCAATCTGTAATGTCACATTACCCTGTAATTGCATGAGGAGCCTGTTTGCTAATAAACTTACTTGGGCGTAGTCGCTGGAGCGGTTTACGAATTAAATGAGAGTCTGTGGCATCATGGCCTTTGAACGACGTGACTCCCAAAAAGAAATATATACATCATACTTTCACTGTAAGGTATTTTGTAATTCATCAGTGAATTATTAAATATTTTAAAAAATAACATTCATCTGTATTATCACAGTACTCCATGATTGTATGAGAAGACTTAAACGCTCAGGCAGCTGCAATGTATACCGTGGCTGCTTCTGTGTGCTCGGACCGCCTCCGTTGTGTAGTGGTTAGAGCGTCCGCCCGGAGAGCGGAAAGTCGCGGGTTCGATCCCCGGCCGCCTCATACCAAAAGACGTTAAAATATGGTACTTGTTGGTGTCTGAGTGGGGTATTCATGCTTCACTGCGGCATGGTATCTCAGTGGGCTAGCACTATAAAACCAGCTTAAGTCTGGGCAAGTACAAGCAGCCGCACATACACATACACACGCATGCATGTCGTCATATGAGCGAAAATATTCTCAAGCACGACGTTAAACCCCAATTCACCCCACCTCTCCTCTGTATGCTCGTATCCTGACGGCGTGTGTTGTTGTTCATGAAGCCGACCTTCATCATTGACATGCATTATTACTGTGTTGGGTATCCCTAGCAACAAAAGTCAGCTAGTGAGTTTAGCTTTACGCCGCTTTTAGCAATATTCCAGCAATCTCACGGCGGGGGACACCAGAAATGGGCTTCATACGTTGTACCCATGTGGGGCTAACAACAAGAACGGTCCAAAGGTTTAAAGTTTCAACTTGCCGAACAAACCCTTGAAAACCGAGGATGATACCCCAACGTCAGTATCCCTGTACTTACCTACAATCTCTGATGCAGTCATTGCCGTAGATGTTCCCATTGGCGTCACAGACGGGCCACAGAATCCTTGGGCACGGACACCCTCTTGGCAAGGAATTGGCTTAAACAAATAGCATTGGCTAAAGTAACATCCGAGATATGTAAATGGGGTAAAACGTCACCTTCAAAATTATAGCACTCATATAACAACGTGCATGTATATGTATGTGACCACTTTTACCTTTCTGGACGTAAGCCGGTTGAGATCGAACAACCGCCTTCCGTCCCCAGATATACACTCTATCCACTATACCACGGACCCGTGAAGATCCGGGTTAGAATGGATCTTCAGTAACCCATGCTTGTCGTAAAAGGCGACTAACGGGGTTTTTGGTCAAGCTCGCTAACTTGGTTCATACATGTCATCGTATCCCAACTGCATAGATTGCATCATGCTCTGGATCAGTGGATTGTCTGGTCCAGACTTGATTATTACAGACAGAAATAAACTAATAAAATTCAGGACAAGACAACGCGCATTTGTTTCTGTTTCATGTTCAAGTATAAATGGTTCGCGATCTAACCTCGACTTCTCTTCTGACACATCTCTTCCACCATCAAACATATTTACTTATGCGTCAGTTTATGATAAACCGTTCTACAAAGATATGGACAATGTGATAATATATGTAACATGTTAAACAGATGTTTTAGCAAAGTGAGATACGTTTTGAAGTTGTCAGGCTAGAAACAGAAGACGTTTATACAAAGTTTATTCAGGTTGCCATTTGTTCAGGTACCCCTGATTAATCATTATGTTTACGACATCTCGACATCTAATGAACAGATATAATATTATGCGCCAAATCATGGTTGATATATTTACTTCCGAGTTGGCACTCCTCACATTCGTCTTACCTGCGGCGTCGAGCGGATATATGTGGTATACATACGGTAAACGTCGTTGAACCCAGTTCACTCAGAATTCACTACCGATTGCTGTCAGGTGGTATATGTTCTTTAATGTGAAGTGTCTGACTTTATAAAGGGTTTACGGCTATAGGTTTATAGAGTACTGTGACAAGGGTATGTAAGAAAATAGTTTCTGTTGTCACCTTCGCCCTTCTTTTTAAGGACGTGAGTGGTTGTTCCTTTACGCCGTACCTACACGAATACAATGACAGACATTATATACTGGACAAAATAAGTTAGGGATATTGGTATTTTTATGATTGATATTTTATCAGTCTGCCAATGAATAAATACATCATTATTCATAATTTCAAAATTTACATATATCCCTAACTATGTTTGTCCAGTATATTATCTTGAGAAAACCACAAACGTATGCTTACCACACAGAAATGTTGCCACCAACACGAGAACAACTGCTGTCTTCATCTTGTTCAGTCGGAGTGCCTATTTTCTTCTCTGTCTGGGGATGTATGATGATGGAAGGGTAGAGAGGGGAGACCCCGCGAGCCTTATATACACACACATGCCTTATTAACCCAATTACACCGATGCGTGGACCACACCCATGAGGATCATTATCTAATGAAACAATTGACCTGACATTTGCCATCAGACACTTACTGCCCACTTTGACTGGGATATGTTTCACATTTGATCTATTATATTAGCTTTACATATATTTGTCTCAAAAGTATTTTGAAATATTTTTGGAACTACATAATTTGAAAGTGATATGTTCAGGATATGATCCTTAAGAAAAATGAAATGTGTGAACGGTTTCCTTGCAAGGCAGTGAGTGAATGTTGTATAACGCCGCAGCAGTCCAGCTATGTCACGACGGCAGGCAAAAGATCGAGTTTGGACAAGACGAGTGGTTGGTGCACAGTGACCACCCGGTCGTCACTTTAGTCGCCTCATGTCGCCAAGCAAGGGGAGAACAGGTCACTATAACCCGGAAGCCATATATTTTTTAACTGCAAGTCAAAAGGCCTTCTTGAAGCTTTCTATACGTTTATTTTAAACTGACGACATTTCCAGATTTGACCCGAAATAGTGATGCACGTTACCATTTTGTCTTATACCGTGTGTTCCCTTGTTTGTTGACCTGAATACTTGCTGTACCTTTGCATGCGTTTGTGATTATGAAAGTGTATTCTTAGTGTAGATGATGGGGGCGCTGGGGCAGCCTAATGGTCAAAGCGTTCGCTCGTCACGCCGACACTCGGGTTCGATTCCCCACTTGGATACAATGTGTGAAGCCCATTTCTGGTGTCCCCGCCGTGATATTGATGGAATATTGTTAAAATCAGAGTAAAACAATACTCACTCACTACTTAGATGATAGAGTTACAAATTGGTTGAACCAAGTTTCCCAAAAGCAATTATGTATTTAGTGAAAGAAAGTCATTCATTCATTTAGTGAAAGAAAAAGAAACTGTATTCAGCTTTATATTTCAATTTGTTAGTTGAACAAAACTATGGAAATTATCACCTTCCTTTGGTTCACATGGTGGAATTCATTTGAGGGTCCATTACAGAGGTCATTACAGAGGTCATGCTGATCAGTAAACACAGTGTTTACTGTAATACAGATAAACATATTACTTGTGTGGTTTAACGAGTCAGAGGATGTTCTAGAATCTTATGTAGATATGTAGAGGATAAAAAAAACCCGGAAACTTTTAAAACTGCAGTTTTTACAAAAGGCTTAATCATATGAGCTGTGACTGTTTATTCATGATGCATATGAAAGAATAAAATGTATTTGTCAAACAAAGTTTAGATTTATGTTAATTGACACTACCATACTTGTAACCTGATATGACTGATATAGTCAGAATCGGACAATGGCTGTTGCTTTTACAAACAATTTATTATGATTATGAAAACGTTTTTTAGCTTCTATATTCACTTGGTGAAAGATATGGCGGTTATTTTTCTTTTCAATTCTGTGGGTGCGGATCAGAAGAAGGAACTCAAAGCGCCCTATTTTCTATCCAAAGTCGTATACCTGACATTCTACAGCAATACATTCTGTGATTATGTGTTCACTGATATTCCGTTTATGATATGCATTGTTAATGTCAGTATCCAAAGGCCGGTTTAGTATATAATAATAGTAGGTAATAATTGTTATAGTGACACTTTGACGTCAACATGATGAGCATGGAATTACCTACACACATAAAACACTTGTGCCAGGTCTTCACTAAACTAGATATAATTGTTACAATGAACTTTACATAGCTGTAATGGTGGGATATATTGTTTTCACACTTGTAATGTGTTTAAGTGAGTGGTGATGAGTAAATGTTCTGCTTTGAACGCCCCTTTTAACAGGGACAAGTTATATCAGGGCCAGTCCCTCAAAGCGATCGTAGCGCTACGACAGTCGTAAGTCAATGTTAAAGTGTGGGAGTTACGATCATCTTAGCGCTACGATCGCTTCGAGGAACGGGACCCAGGCCCTAGATTTTCGAAGCTCTCTTAGCGCTAAGATAGTCGTAAGTTAATGTTAATGTATGGCAATTACGACTATCTTAGCGCTAAGAGAGCTTCGAAAATCTAGGCCCAGGTCGTGTGGGCTTGACTTTGGATGAATTTGAATGGCCGAAGGGATATAGGCCTCAGATGCTGATCCCAACTGCGTAGGTCGATGCTCATGCTGTTGATCACAGGATTGTCTGCTTCAAACATGACTAGTTAGAAACCAACGTCATACAGCTGGAATATTACCGACGGTGTCGTTAAACAACACACAAACAAACAAACAAATAAACAATGACTTCGCAAATAATGATACCATTGTGAGGAAAGATATGTTGTATCGACGCCCCATCAGCCCCAGTGAATTGCCATTTCAATTTATTTGAATTCACAAATATCAGTACAGTTACATAACACTTTCGTTTAAATGTTTATTAACTTGTTTTCACCTTTGATATTACTCGCAATGATATTTTTGAAATCTGACAATTCATCTTTTCATATTCTTGTACTATTCAAAACATTGCAATTAATGAATGTTATTTGCATTATATGTATGTCTTCATGCATAAGTATGTTAGAAATTGTGTCTTATTTAGTTTAGTTTAGGCGTATAATAGCTATGTACTGAGTGATAGTGAGTGTGCTGCGCTCAGCTACACGGAACGGTAACATTAGGTTCGTTTGTATTTATGCACGTCCGTGCAGGTGGTTGGATGGCTGGTTGGTTGGTCGGTTGACTGTCTGGTTGGTTGGTTGGCTGGTTGGTCGGTTGGTGGGCTGGTTGGTTGGTTGGCTGGATGGTCGGCTGGTTGGTCGGCTGGCTGGTGGTCGGCTGGTTGGTCGGTTGGTGGGCTGGTTGGTTGGTTGGCTGGTTGGTCGGCTGGTTGGTCGGCTGGCTGGTTGGTCGGCTGGCTGGTTGGCCGGTTGGTTGGTTGGTAGGCTGGTTGGCTGGCTGGTCGGCTGGTTGGTTGATTGGTTGTGGATCGACGCAATCAGCTATACTCCAGGTTATTCCAGATTGACCAAGATGAAGACAGCGGTTGCTCTCCTGTTGGTGGCAACATTTCTGTGTGGTAAGCATACGCTTGCGTTTTTGGCAAGACTGGAAAAAACATACATGCTTTGGTCACTGTAAGTCTGTAAGAGCGGCGTAAACAAATATCAACTCAATTACTTTCAAAACTAGAGCGAAGGGTTGGTTGGTTTATTGCTTTACGCCGCACTCAACAATATTCCAGCTATATAGCTGTAAATAATCGTGTCTGGACCAGACAATCCAGTGATCAACAGCATGAGCATTGATCTACGCAGTTGGGATGCGATGACATGTGTCAACCATGTCAGCGAACCTGACCACCCGATCCCGTTAGTCGTCTTTTACGAGGAGCATGGGTCCCTGAAGATCAATTCTAACCCGGGTCTTCACGAGTACTGTGCAGGTGGATCTATCGAGTAGGTCTGTGCAGGTGGATCTATCGAGTAGGTCTGTGCAGGTGGATCTATCGAGTAGGTCTGTGCAGGTGGATCTGTCGAGTAGGGCTGTGCAGGTGGATCTATCGAGTAGGTCTGTGCAGGTGGATCTGTCGAGTAGGGCTGTGCAGGTGGATCTATCGAGTAGGTCTGTGCAGGTGGATCTATCGAGTAGGGCTGTGCAGGTGGATCTGTCGAGTAGGGGGCTGTGCAGGTGGATCTATCGAGTAGGGCTGTGCAGGTGGATCTATCGAGTAGGGCTGTGCAGGTGGATCTGTCGAGTAGGGCTGTGCAGGTGGATCTATCGAGTAGGGCTGTGCAGGTGGATCTATCGAGTAGGGCTGTGCAGGTGGATCTGTCGAGTAGGGCTGTGCAGGTGGATCTGTCGAGTAGGGCTGTGCAGGTGGATCTATCGAGTAGGGCTGTGCAGGTGGATCTGTCGAGTAGGGCTGTGCAGGTGGATCTATCGAGTAGGGCTGTGCAGGTGGATCTATCGAGTAGGGCTGTGCAGGTGGATCTGTCGAGTAGGGCTGTGCAGGTGGATCTGTCGAGTAGGGCTGTGCAGGTGGATCTATCGAGTAGGGCTGTGCAGGTGGATCTATCGAGTAGGGCTGTGCAGGTGGATCTATCGAGTAGGGCTGTGCAGGTGGATCTGTCGAGTAGCGCTGTGCAGGTGGATCTATCGAGTAGGGCTGTGCAGGTGGATCTGTCGAGTAGGGCTGTGCAGGTGGATCTATCGAGTAGGGCTGTGCGTATGTTGTGTGTATGCATCTGTGTATGCGTGTGCGTATGTGTGCGTTCTGCATGTGTGAGTGTGTATGTTCAGGCATACATGCACTACTTATTGTATGGATGGATATAACCGAATGTATGTCGACATATTTTGCAGACTTTTTATCGCTTTTACCAACATCAATGCATGTTATAAAATGTCCCTTCGGCGACTGGAGACTTTGCATAACCTGCAAATCAACACTACTCTAACCCGGGTGTGACTAGGGCGGTTGGGTAGACATTGGTTAAAGCGTTCGCCCGTCACGCCGGGTTCGATTCTCACTAATTGGTCACAAACCAGGAATGGTCCGGGCTGTTAATGAGGTACTTAAGCATTGATTCCTTAAATGCACCAACCGAATATGGTTGTCTTGGTGATGTCTTGTGGTCTCCAAAGAGTGGGGCGGTGGGGTAGCCCAGTGGTTAAAGCGTTCACTCGTCACGCCGAGGTGAGGTGAGGTGAAATTGGGTTTAACGTCGTGCTGGAGAATATTTTCGCTCATATGACGACGTGCATGTGCGGCTGCTTGTACTAGCCCCCACTTTGAGCTGGTTTTATAGTGCTAGCCCACTGAGATACCATGCCGCAGTGAAGCATGAATACCCCACTCAGACACATTATACTGACTCCGAGCCGACCAGTCCTTGTTGTACCCATTAATGCCGAGCGCAAGGCAGGGACCAACAAGTACCATATTTTAACGTCTTTCGGTATTTTAACGGCCTCGAGCGAGCCTCACGACCGAAACTAATCGACGGATTTCGGACTTTCTCCTACACTTAGTAACCATTTTGGTGAACTTCAAGTATCATGATCAAGAATTATCTCGTATTCAAACCCGTGATGAACGAATCATTGGTCCGTAAACCAGGGCAAAACGTACTTCTGTCGTCTCCACCGATAACCTTTATGTACTGGGAGGAGACGAGAGTGCAGTCGGCACGCACAATCGGTGCTTCACGATTGCGAGCACTCACACGTCAGGGAACAGTCCACGTATCTTGAGAGTTAGAGGTAAAACAAAGGTTTGGAATGAAACATATTTTACACATAATGTGTTTTCAGTTACATATATTGGGATTAAAGAAAAAACCCACACATCAAAGAACAAGAAAGCAATTATTAGATTTCCATGCCATACTTGACAGACATATTAAAACCTTGGGCTGCTAGGTATACTTGCCTACCCAACCCCACTTTTACCCAAATATCGCGGTCCTCCTGCCATGGGTATAAAAGGAGAAAGAACCCTCTGCGCGTCACACCAGACTCATACAAGTTAATAGAAGCCCAGCTTAAACCATGAAGACCGCAATTCTCATCGTGGCTGTCATAGCTCTTCTCTTCGTCGGTGAGTATTTTCAAATGGTGTGCATGAACATAGGGGTTGAGAAGTACAGTCTCTATATGTTGATTGTATACGTATTTTCCTGTCGATAAATACATTACTGTTATTTCAGTATGGCATTAACCATTAAATACCTAGACATGTTTGCTTTGCTTTGTGAACCATTTAGATGTTGGAGAGAAAAACTTAATTCTTAATCCTTAGTTTCATTCAAGTCAAATCATATCACCTGAATATATATTCCTCATCTGATTAGGATGTTTTAACATGTTTCTTTAGGTAAGAGTTCCGCCCGAAACCCCCGCTTGAAATGTGCTCTATTTATTAGGATTATTTGGAGGGTTTTGGTTTTGGTTTAGGGTTAGCTATAGGCTGCTTATAAAAAAACCATAGGCGTATATTCTTAGGCATATAATGATTTTTAAAAAAAAATACAGAGGTTACGGGCGGGAATCTTTCCCACTTTACTATTGAAACACCTGGGTGATATATCGGAGTCATGTTGATATAATAATAATAATAATGATGGAATGTGTTGGCAGTGCATCACCACTTGCACTTCCTTATGACATAGAGGCGATGGGGTAGCCTAGTGGTTAAAACGTTCTTTTCACCCGAAGACATGGGTACAATGTGTGAAGTCCATTTCTGGTGCCCCCGCTGTGCTAGTGCTGGTATGTTGCCAAAAGCGGTGTAAAATCCAACTCCCTCACTAATGGCGTCCGCACCAAGGTTTATCGTCTATGGTCCCCGTATGCAACCAGACGTAAATACGTGCTATGTATTTGCAGGTAAGGGCTCTGCCGATTGTAACTGTGAAGTAGGCGCCGAAACAGAGTCCATGGTGTGCGACGCGGAAGGGAATGCCTACCCCAGTATCTGTGAACTGGAATGCGAGTAAGTACAAGTTTTCAAGTTTGCATTTTCCTCATCACATAGTTGTCGGTCAAACTATACTACCCATCCAAAGTTTAGACACGCCTAAAGCAGTCACTATGTTATGTATATATACTACCCATCAAAAGTTTAGACTCACTTAAAGCACTCACTATATTATGTATATGTATGTGGTTACATCGAAGATGAATTTCTCCACCAACTTGGGGGGAACCAACTGAAAACCTTATGCAGATGAATTGCACAAGGATGATGCTTCAAATTGCGAAAGGCATGAGCAAATGTCGTGCATGTGAACAGATGCGTTTTGGTGTAAAGTTTTGTTAAGAATTCGCCAATTTTCACAGATTTTAATCATTTACTGAACTCATGACAATAATCTTTTCAATGTTACGAATATGTTTTACAATACACCAGTTCATAACTAAACAGTACCTTTTAAACAGTATGGAATATTTTGCAAAAAGCTAGTTTAGAACAGTGGACAAGTAAGTGGCTACATTTACACTAGTGAGTCTAAACTTTTGATGGGTAGTATATATATGGTTACATCGAAGATGAATTTCTCCACTAAATTGAGGAAACCAACTGCAAACTTTATGCAGATGAATTGTACGAGGATTATGCATCAAATTGCTAAAAAGCATGCGCAAATATCGTTCATGTGAACAGCCTCGTTTTGATGTAAAGAATTCGCCATTCTTTACTGCTTTTCATCATTAATGAACTCATGAAAATCTTTTCAACGTTACGAATTTTTTCTACAATACATTAGGTCATGTGTAAACAGTACTTTTTAAACTGAACGGAATATTTTGCAAACTCAAGTTTAGAACAGTTGACTGAAGTGGCTACATTTACACTAGTGACTCTAAACTTTTGATGAGTAGTATATGTTTGACATTTCATTCAACATAACGCGTATGCAAGCATTTGATTTGTTTCTATTTACGTTAAAAAAACTATGCTAAGGAAAACTTTGGATACACGGTTTAGGAAAATAAGCACAGTACTGTTATGTGAATGTTACTCATGTGACGTGACTTCACTCAGAGACGCCTTATGAAACGTATAGAAGATGAGGACGATTGAAGTGCCGCATGTAAATGTACATGCCGATGCCCAATTCCTACTATGGCACCCTATTAAATTATTTTTTAAACCGCTGGAATACGATGACGTGCATCAACTTATTCAGCAAGCCTAACCAGATCCACTTAAGCGCCATAACGACAAACATTACGGTACACTGCGAGTCCAACACGTTTCTTCACAGGTATTTACTTTTGTCTACAGATCAAAACGAATGCCATAAGATTTCAATAATCCTCTAGCTTTTGGCCCAGATTACAAATAAGCACCAGGACCTCGTACCCGGTAGTTAACCATATGTCGTAGGCACTTTGATGGGGTATGGGTGCACTATCATGTAATTGCAAACTTAGCTGCCGAATAAAGTGTTGTGGACCCACTGATGGACTTTTGCATTTGAAGAGACAGAAACCCCCTAGAAAACCTTTAACCAGCCCGGGATATATACATTACTGATGCCGATCGCTCGTCATTTCTGGGGCAGATTGTGTCGCATGTATCAGAGCATCCAGATGGAATAGGTTTCACCGGAATTTTTAGGTTTAACGATATTGAGTAATTTGTTCCATTAACTTAAATTATTTGGTTTTTGAAATTTGGGCACAACTGTATGGAACAGGGACCCGTACTGAAAATCTTGCCATCGGTAGTTTTCAAATTTGAACACTCTATGAATGTAAAGTGCCATGCATATTTGTATTTAAATGTGTACATTCTGAAAACTATTGACAGATTTAGTTTGGGCGCACTTGCATGTTGCTATTTCGACTTTACTTATTCAAATCTTAATCCGCTTATTCGGGTGGTGGGGTAGCCTAGTGGTTATAGCGTTCTCTCGTTACGACAAAGACCTCGGTTCGATCCCCAACATGGGTACAGTGTGTGAAGCCCATTTTCTGGGGTCCCCCATGAAAGCGACGTACAACTGACCTCCCTCAATTGTTCATATACCAATACCACAGGGCTTATCTTATGTTTGTGCAACGAGTCCGTGAGTACCAAAGAAAATTATAATTGGCGGGTACCCGGGGGATTCGGGGTTAAAAAAAAAAAGCAATGCCAGCAAAATCACAAAGCTGGCCCTTAATTTGAAAATTTAAACTGAAATCTCTATTCTGAAGTCAAGGTCGGCCATGCTCATATTTATTTGGCTTGTTTTCATTCGACTATTACCAGTGAAAATCCTGGTTGGAATTGATCTTCAGTAACCATGCTTGTCAGGCGACTAACGGGATCGGGTTGTCGGACTCACTGTAAATCATAGCTTCAAATACCTATTATTGGTTTGTATTACAAAGGGGTATGCACATTACATGAAACAGAATAAGGGGTGGTCTGAGTTAACACTAAAGTACTGTCGGAAATGCTAGAAAAATGCTTTTTAACCTTAATACTTTGATAAAGGTGATAAATGTACTATGTTGTCAATATATCAACTCGCCTATAGTGTACCTAATTTTTATTTCAATCGATTTAACATTTCCATGCATTTAAAGGACAGTTTACAGGAGAGAATTTTATACCAAAACAACTCGCGATTTTTTCAGACTTTAACATGAGAAATCTGAAATCGTCTTTAAATTTATGCTAATAATACAGGTGGTGCAAAAATATAAATTACCGTTTTTCTTAAACAAATAAAATGTTGAATGTTTGTTCCTTGACTAAATTATCGTTTCTAAATTGAAGAAAAATTAATATAAATGTTAAGTCTTAATAGATAAGTTTCCCGTTATGCATGCACATCTTTATCACAGCGTTCACTATGGCCAACTATTTGCAGTCGATTGTTGCAAAGGTTTATAAGTTTATTATTCTTGAGAAAGAGGTAAACCTTCATTAGTTTAGAAAGGGTTTATTACAGAACTTGTAGAGCTGTTGGTATATCTTACCAAGAAGTTTACGATATTGTAAACAAATCAGACAAGACAGGGACAGTCTCAAGAGCAAAACTTGGAAGCTATACCAGTCACTTCGTTAACTCTTTGGCCAATGTTCACAACTGGATTAAATTGACCGAATTACATCCATATTTTTGCAAAGAAATATAAAAACATTTATTAAAACGTTGTACATTTCTACAATCAATCGATAAAATAACACAAGTGATGGGATTCTTTCTCGTGCACAATAATTCGTATGTTTATTTCAACACACATATATAGGCGTTGTTGGTGTGCGAAATGTGGATATCACATGCGCCCTTACATAACCAATACGTATACGTATTCAACATGACGAAAAAGATGTATTGAGATGACCCTCTCCCGAGTTTGTGCTCAGGTGTCAATTTCACCTGTCGATACCGTGCATGCTGATGACGTAACACAGGCAGTTAATGTTTGCATCAAATAACGTTCCACTACCCTAAGTTTTTGATATTTTCATATGTAAAAACACATTTTAGGGCATGTCTCAAAATGTATTCCCTCGGTCTACATTAGGTAGATGTTTCTTAAAGTGATATTTGTTATTTAAGTAACTAATATCTGATTTTTACATAAAAGTCAAAGCATTTTTCCAGCATTTCCGACAGTACTTTAATCACGTACCGCACGTGCATTTGTTTCACAGTTCCAACTACTGCGTTTACCCCCTTGTTACAAATACAAACCAATAGTAGAGATTTGAATCATGATCCTTTGTTAAACAACTTTTATCCTAAGTTGAATAAAATTCTGAGATATGAATGTTCAATTGACAAGGTAAAATCAGGTGGATTCGCAATCTTAATTTTTTCACTTTATTTAATTTACTTTTGTTAAAGGTACGTTTTCACTGCAAACAGACTATAGATGCGTGGGCATGTGCGCTATATAAATATCCTTTAATAAATTTAACGCCCGCACCTCTTGTGAAAAATTACCATTATAAACATGGTGGATATGAAACCCTCGTGCGCCCATGCCCAGCATGCGTTTTTACTTCATGGATTAATGAATAAATGCATAATATAGGATCCACTGGTCAAAAGATAATTAGATTTAATCAAATCCGATATTTACACAATCATCATTCATGGCAATGTGTTTGACATGTTGTGCCACTTGTTTTGTAGAGGCAAGAAGAGGGATACAAGCAAAACCTATAACAGCAAGACTGACAACTGCGAGTGAAGATCAACATGCAGACCTTTACTCTTGCTCGAATGTCTTGTTTGTAAACATTCCTCTTTGTAATAAACGGGTGACCTTTCATCGTCTCCCTTCGTTACATCAAATCAGGTTATGCATCCGTCAATACCCCTACATGTTTCAACACTGCAATACTTTGGCGCTGCAGCTTCATAACTCCCTTGTCTTTTACAATTTGGTAACTTAAGGAATTATATCCCAGTATTGGTACCAGTAAGTCAGATGTTTGTGGTCCACACCAGCTTACCAGCAACTCATCGTCAATCAGCCTATGATACTTGCATCCTGCTTGTGATAAAGGCTGTTTCAACTCGTGTTGAACCCGTGAAGATCCGGGTAAGAAGCAATGTGCTGTCAGGCGATTGGGATTCTTTGTGTTGTAATTCAAAATACATTTTCCGAAGCTAAACCTTTAAATGAAAGTGACATTAATTCAGATTTTGAGGAACTTTTGAATGGAAGAATTTAGTGTCAATTCTCATACCACTCTGCAAGGGTGCGAATGTTTTATTCATGGCAACCTGAAAGGGATGGGTTTGAATCGGAGTTAAGCAGCAAATTAAGTCTTCCTGATGAAGATCTGAATAGAACGCTGTGTCTGTCACAGAAGTAAGGAACCAAAGGGGAGGTCAATACAACGGCATCGCAATTCATGAGATTCTTATTTCGATGCAGAGATTCATGCGCCAAAGTGGTCGAGATGTTAACCTAACCACCGATTTTGCTTTTAGGGGTTTGAGAACCATTCTTGATGCTAAAATGAATCACTGGCCCAGGCTGGTATTGGCATGCATAGAAGGCGAGCTAACGTCATCACACCACAGGAGGAGGATGCGTTGTGGGAGAGGGGGTTGCTTGGGGATGACACCTCGGAGAAATTGCTTGAAACCGTTTTTTATTTTAATGGGATAAACTTTGTTTAAGAGGTGGAGAGGAACATCGTGCTCTTAAAGTAGGTGAATGTTCAAACTTCCGTGTTACTAGAAAAAGAAACTGGTATACTCTGAAGGGGTTTCAAATATACTATTCACACTTTGCTAAGGATCAAATCTTAGATTCAACAGAAAACTATGATGTGGGGTAAAATTTGGTTTAAATATCTAAGCTTATTGTTAGCATGGATCCTAGGTTTCAGTATGTGATTGCATGTTGTGGATCCCATAGCTGCTATTGACAGGTGTTGTTTATTTGTCGATGACTCGTTCCATGATTTGCAAACTGGTTGATTGGTGCCATGAAAACCGTTTTATGGTTACTCATGTATCAGGTGCATAAGGTTAGATGAAAGTAGCTGTTTGCCTAAAGAGGGGCTACCATATTATTATTTATCCAGTTTTAAATGGATACAATTTCAAATTATAAATCTACGTTTAAGTAAAGTTGTGAATTTTTGTGATCCTTATAGTTTGAGTAGTATCCGAATTCAGGAGGGCTGAAACAAAAGGTTGTCTGCTAAGGTCATTTCAGTAGATGTGAGAACCCTGCCCGTTGTCCAGTTAGATTTCACCAAAAGTACATGTCACTGAGGTGAGTGAATAATATGGTAATTACATAAAATCCCAAAATTTACCAAAAAATGACATTCTTGTCGTTTTAAAAAAATAGTTTAAAAAATGAACAAGAAACCCAACACAACAAACCAACATGACGGCTACAGTGCAGCTTGCATGCAATGTATGTACAATTGGACTGCAGGCCAGTGGGTTGTGATGACTTTTACCTTCATTCACTCAAGTATCCTAAGCGGCTAAGCCAAACCAGTGGTATTCTGCCGCTCCTATATGAAGACGCGTTCAGTCTGGGGTGGGTTTAAATGATTTTGTACGAACCACTTCCCCTGGCCTACAACGGCCACACGGCCACACGCCTGTATCAGAGCGGTTTGGATGAGCAGCTGATTGCCGAAAGGACAGGTCACACATCGACAGCTATTCGTTTGTAAGTATAGGTGTTATTGCATTTGAAATAATCAGATACTGAACAAGATCCGTTTGATTTGATCACAAATAGGCACTGGTATAATGGGATATGTGTGCACCGTATTTAAGGGTTATTAATCACGTCCATGGGCGGTGAGGTAGCCTAGTGGTTATAGTGCCTGTGGCGCGAGTTCGATTCACCACACAGGTACAATGTGTAAAGCCCATGCGTTGTGTCCCCCGCCGTTATACTGCTGGAGTATTGCTAAATGAGGCGTAAGTCCAAACTCACTCGCTAATAATCTCTTGTAAAATGTCTATCAAAATATCAGTGAGGGAGTAAGATGTATTGAATAAGTATTTGCTATATACAATGCAGGTACAAGAGAACAAGCGAGGGCATGTTAAAGATTGTCGATGATGTTGTCCAGAGGAAAACACCAGCAACTGCCACATCTGCCACATCGGCAACTAGTTCAACATCTCACGTCTCCGACACCACTGACCCCAAGAGAAGTCAAGACACCAACTGTTCAAATATTTAAAACTCTACACTTCGTTGTGGAACGCGACGGTGCTAGAGTGACATTTGACATGTAATAAATGGATGAAAACATTGTGAGTTTTTGTTTCTGTATTTCTGTTATGGGGGTATTATTGTTTGGATTCAGCGTTAGGACCGGGTCAGTAATAGGGCGCCAATATTTGAAAGTAGGGCGCCAATACACGAGATAAAGTCGTCAATATATACGAAGCTATGTCGCCAGTAAACCAAAGATAGTGGCTTCCCATTCGATCCTTATTGGAGTGATATGTTTGTGTAATGGAGGCAATATTAGGTTTACATGCACACACGCTCTCTCTCTCTCTCTCTCTCTCTCTCGTCTCTCTCTCTCTACGTAGTCTCATTTCATATTTCTCATTTATTCCCCACTTGTATGGTACTTGTTGATCCCTGCCTGGCGCTTGGCATTCATGGGTACAACAAGGACTGGTCGGCTCGGAGTCAGTATAATGTGTCTGAGTGGGGTATTCATGCTCAACTGTGACATGGTATCTCAGTGGGCTAGCACTATAAAACCAGCTTCAGTCTGGGCTACAAGCAGCCACACATGCATGCACGTCGTCATATGAGCGAAATATTCTAAGGCCCGAGGTTAAACCCCATTTCACCTCACCTCACATACATACATGCATACATGAATGAATGATTGAAACGCAGATATGACTGGATGGAAGAATTCTAAATTTTATTGTAACACTAAGCGCTCCTATAGTCGCAGTCGTTCCAAGTGGTTGAAGGTGAAGGTCATCTACTTCCTGGCAGCAACACAGGTGCTACCACTGAAGGTGTAGGCGCCCTCTGCGGCCTGGACGGCACCCCTGCAATGTGAAGGTCCATCGTAAAGGATGAGTTCTCATGGGGTGGAGTTCCGCCAATATATACTTGCATTACATGAGTTTATGTGTTAATACCGGTTGAAAAGTTCCATCGTTTCATGTCATCTATGATCTCCAGACAACTGCTTGAAATGATAAACATGGACGCGACCGATTTGTTGACAGGGGGAAATAGACATGTTTCCGTACTGTCCATATCATTGTAATTAGTCTGTCCGTGTCATTTACAACAAAAAGACACATGAGCATCCACTCGTGTATGATTTTATATTGGCTAACGATAGTCGTGTTATTCTACATACCAATAACCTGCTGTGGTTTCATAGCAGGGATGTTTTTGGCTACATTCTAACCTGTTAAAAAACTCAACGCTAATTTGCTACTCAGTGCAAGGGATCTCTGAGAATCTCATGGACATACTTACTCAACACAGTTCAAGAGGCACGCATTGTCGTAGTAGTTGCCGGCGGTGTCACAGACGGGGTCAATGATACGGGGACACAAGCAGTCACAGTTGACAGTGCTGGCTGTAAGGGGAGATAAAGAGGGGTTAAAGTTTTCATGACACAGGTCCCTTGAACACTAGCTTATTTCAATAAACATTTCCTCACGGTGTAGCTTGAGACTGACTCTTTAAATTTCCATATTTGAGGGCCAACTTTGATTATCGGATTATGCGGATTTTCCATTTGTTTAAAGCGCTGCTGAGTTTCCCTTGCGCACGCACAAAAGTAATGATGTTGGTTCGAATCCCACTTAAAAGTGATTTTTTTTCTAGATTTCTCAGAATCGTATCCACGTTCGTGGGTTTCACAAATGGTACAGGTCTCTGATGCTTATTTTAAGCTGATATTGGGACATGTCCTTCACGTGGGGCGACAGTTGTCATGGATGAATTATTTCCACTGTCTTGACAACGTATCATCTTGATGAATTATAGCTGCTGGGCTGTTTTACTTTTGTAAAACATGGACTCGCATACTGAAAATCTATTCTGTTTCACAATCAGTAACCCACGCGTAACGTTCATCTCTGGTCTGTGAGTATGGTTTTACGCATCTTTTAGCAATATTCCAGCAACATCACAGCGGGGTACACCAGAAATGGGCTTCACACATTGTACCCATGTGGGGAATCGAAGCCAGGTCTTCGACTTGACGAGCGAACGCTTTAACCACTAGGCTACCCCACTGCCCCTCTCTGGCCTATGTGCGAACATACCTGGTTGCACTAGCCAAATATGACCCTCAGAAAATTCACATCAACTTGTACACAAAACAATGATTGTACTCACCACACAGCACCGCAGCAAGAACAGCAAGAACAACAGCAGCCTTCATCTTGATGCTTGAGGTAGAGCTTCTCTTCCGAACAGGATCAAAGTATGGAGTGGATGTACGTGACCGTATTTATACACAACCCATGTCCATATAAAATATTTGAAATGCTATGAATGTCTCCTCAGTAATATTGTAGTTTATTTTATGCTGTGTCAGAACGTCATGTACAAGGCGCCAGCTTGTTGTGGGTATTTTATGTGCTTTGTTTCATTACCGGGTGTAACACCCGATATACCCGATATAGATACAACAAATCTTTTTCCAAATGTTGGTATATATACTGAGGAACAAAGAAAGGATACATCTCCAATTTTATTTCAACAAATTTCTTATTTCCAAATGTTGGCAATATTACATCCCCACACCACACACACACACACACACACACACACGCACACACACACACACACACAAAAAGATAAAATTCGTATATTAACTACCTAAATTGAACATATAAATGTGAAAAAACAGGGTTTTTTTTATTTCCGACAGTACTTTAGTCAATGAGTGAGTGAGTTTATATTTATCGTCACATCGGCAATATTTCAGCCATATCGTGACGAGAACAGTTTATAATTATATTAAAGATCAATAACAGTTAGAAATTAAGAAACCTGTTGACGAAGAACAGTAAAACTACTAGTGTATCACAGATATCTATTTAAAACTAGCAATTAAATCTTAAATATTGGAACTATATATGACAATACAATATAAAAACAGGCTATAGATTCTCAACGACTGAAGGTAGATCACACTTTAGTCAATTGTTTACCCGCAAACACCGGAACGTATCGTACAAGTCAAGATAGGGAACTGCATTGGACATCATTTTTGTCACTGATGCATCAAATCTACATGTCTAGGAAGGTTTCACCAATGCGTCCTAATGACTGTATAGTGATCATGGTAGAACATTGACGACGTTTTGACTTTGTTTTTCAATCGCCAAACCAGACAAAGTTATAACAGACTTTGAAATATTCCAGCGTGACGTCATTGCATCGCAGAGTGTCCGTCTTTCAACCGTGAGAGTTCAGAAATAGAGTGCTGCAGAAAAGTAATGTTATCGGCTGTATTTTACTAGTTGATAAACATTATGGGTTTTCCGATTTACAAGTTTCATTGTATATTCGATGCCTTGAAAATTGACATATGACTCTAGGCATTATGCCGGCAATCATGAAAATACAAATCTGTATCGTATATACTTGACCCACTGTCAATGATCAGACATGTTGGTCATGAGATTATTTTTATGTGGATATGAACTTGGTTTTACGAGACACAGAAACATCAGCTACTGATAACAATATTGTACTTGAAGATGATATTTATGTTTAATTCACTATAAAACCAAGTTCTAAATCGACCGAGGAGTTATATATTATATGAAAGGGTGTTTCATGAGTGTTATGTAGTGTATAAATAGAGACGTCTTACTCCATTCGATACTTTGATCCTGTTTGGAAGAGAAGCATCAAGATGAAGGCTGCTGTTATTCTTGCTGTTCTTGCTGCGGTGCTCTGCGGTGAGTTTTATACCTGTTTTATCAGTTTTATTCAAATGTATATTAAGAAGCCGTTGTGCATTTTCGAGTGATACTGCCAGAGTGTTTCCAGACTCGATTTGTTTACAAACAACATCTTACAGCTGTAATACTGCTGAAACAAATATCTGCTCTGCTTTAGTCACAATTGTACAATGGACTCTGCTTTTAGCAGAGATTTCTTATGAATGTGGAAAGGGTTTTGTCGCTTCTATTTGTAATCCCGGATTCGTTCCGATATCCGAAGTGGATGTTGGTTTCAGAAGGAGTGAACCATGTCCAAATGGACCCTGTACCTTGTAAAAAGCAGTCATGATTCATGATTTTAAATGAAGCTACCTAGCTATTGTTTTAATTCAAGTAATGAAATGTCTTATGAAAGACAAACTATCATAGAAACGTGTGGGTGAAGTTGTACCTTGTGAAAAACATTCATGATTGCGAAACAACCCTAGTGGTCACTGAGGGACCTATGTCAGGACAAGAATGTCAGGATAACTAGTTTAACCCTCATCTTTCTTTACAGCCAGCACTGCCAACTGTGAGTGCATTTGTCCCCTCATCCTGAGCCCTGTCTGTGACACTGTCGGTAACTACTACGACAATGTATGCCAGTTGAACTGCGTTGAGTAAGTATATCCATGAAATGTTCTCACCTTCTCGAACCCTCAAATCAAAGTAGAGTATGAACTCTGAGGCTACAAGTTATAATATATTGATTGGACGCCCCTGAAGAAGAAGTTGTATAATCTTCTGAAGATTAATACTACGATTTCGTTTAAAATCGTTGTGTATTGGAATTGTAAAGACTTTGGGTTTAACATCTATACTTTTGAAAGTCATTGAAGAGAAATGAATAACGAAACAGACCAAATTGTCGTCTACATGTATTTGATATATTTGAACACAAAAACTGTTTCCTGTGGACAAGGACAATAAGATGAATAAGCGAGGAAACATGTTTTGGATGTTTGTAAAATATTCATGATAAAATACATCTACCCTATGTAATCTAACTGACTTGAAGGAAGTGCATCACTGACAATTCCTCACTCTTAGCCCACGATGGACCTTTAATTTACAGGAATGCCGTCCTGGCTTCAGAGACCACCTACAGCGTCAGTGGCAACTCTTGTGTTGCTGCCAAGTAGATGACCTTCATCTTTGACCACATGGAACGTCCCCGACCGAAGTACATGTTACTTTTTCAATAAAATATGGAATCAATCCATCTGGTCTGGTTTTGATTTGTAAATATCAATGCCATTGTGAATACACATAAAGGCGTATTTGACACGACACGACAGAGTGTATTCAGTGTATGAAATAAGGCCCGTCCGACCGATCGAGACAGTCTAGATTTCTGACGGACTGTCTATATTTATCAGCTTGCCAGCCCGATGGTCTGGTAAAATGTTTAGATGTTCCATACATCTGAGTAAATTCACCATATTTGGTGTGGTTAAATCCATTTTGGGCTGGTAACTGATGTCTGGCTGGAATTTTGGCTTATTTCATACACTGGTGTATTACAGAACGAGGTCAATACATCTGCATCAGTAAGGGTGGATATGTACCCCAAGCAATTCTGAAATGTTAAGTGAAGTTAGTGAACTAGGTTTACCCTCTGTAGTCTTAATTATGGTAGGCCACTGTTTGCTCCCGATCGATATTTGGCTCTTGCATGCAATATTCAAAGAGAGCAAGAGGAAGGTCGGTGGTTGTCACATCACTTTACGTAATGTCACAGCATGTCACGTCACGTCACGTTATGTCAAATCCATTCACATCTCATTACACCACTTTTGAAAATATGTCAGTTGTCCTTCAAGACATGTTCAGGAAAGTCAAGGAGTGAGGTGGCATGGCTTTGTGTTGTCTCCAGATCTAATCCTACAGACTATGGTGAATGCAAACGTGAAATGCAATTTGTGCACACAGGGAGTAAAGTATCAAAATCAATACCTTATTCCCGTCTCTTGAGTATCGAAGATACAGTCGGCACTAACACCGTCATTATAAGGCTGCATACAAGCGATTAAACCTTCCTTGCCAAATGGATGAGACAGAAGACTTTTGGACCCGTGAAACACATGTCATCGGTTCCCAATTGCGCAGATTGATGCTCGTGTTGTTGATCACTGGATTGTCTGGTCCAGACTCGATTATTTACAGACCGCCGTCATATAGCTGGAATATTGCTGAGTGCGGTGTAAAACTAAACTCACTCACTCACTCAGAAGACTTTTGACTTCTCCATTGAGATCTTAACTGATGAATTTAATGCACAAGTCTATATGTTAAGACTACCATTTAGTCTCAAATGAACAAATAAACAGTTTTGAAATTATCTTTATAAAATATAATAAACAGGAGAGCCGAGACCTGCCTGTCGTTATTAACTTGCACCTGCTATTTTGAATACATGTATTCGAGAGTCTAGACAAATATTTTGATAACTGAATCAAGCGATGAGTAGGAGCTTCTTTAAAGGAGTCAGGATGCTTTGTTATTTACAGGGTCCTCACATGTGTGGTGTCATGGTACACATATCTTATATGGCACTGTTCACTATCTTCAATAAATGTCAGAAGACAATCGTAAGGTACATTGTCATCAATGTAGTAGTAGTAGTAATGGGTGTACGAGTACAGGTACCCCTAATGGCGTTATTTCTGGCTAATTCAGCTTCCGGCGACCCCTAAAAATCATGATCCACGAGCGAGGGCATCGTTTGATGTCCTTTCCCTGTTTATAGGAGCCTTAGCTTCTGTATGGCACCGGTGAGTTTTGGCAAACAAAATAGAAACAAATACAAAACAAATGCGAAAACAATGGCAAAACGTGACACTCACCCACCTTTCCCTTTTTAATATCCCCATTACCAATGCTATTTTATCCATAATTTATATATATTTTCCTTCAATACAACTTTTTTGTATGTCCATAAGCATAAGTCGTTACACCATTGTTAGCAATCCATCGCTTTATATCCATCAGTGACAACGATGTTTTGTTCAACCTTAAACTGTATACCCTATGCTTGTCACTTGTCAGAGCGTTCATCTTGTGTTTGATCGTTCTTCTATCTAATAAGGACTCCTTGAACTGTTCGTGTTTTATTTGTCTTTTCACGACGTATCTTTCCACACCGTTAACCTTTCTTATCTCACTGCTGTCGGGTATTTTAATCGAATACATTTTAGGTCTCAATCCGATGTACTGGAAAAACTAGGTTTCCAGATAGACATATGGGAAGTATGTGATATATATACCCAGGAAAAACCACGATGTCCCCAAAAGGAGATTTGTCTCCAGACCAGATCCAAGAAATCCTCTCCCTTCGCGGTGTCTACCGACAGCCAAAGTGAAAAAGCACTTTGGTATCGGGACCACTCTGCAGCACTCTGCAGAATCTTCAACCCTTTTGCCGCCAGCGAGATAGCTCCAAATACAACGTGGCCTAACCATACGGGACTTCTACAACCGCCTGGGGAGGATCGAGGCCCATGCGGAGCAAACCACGACTATGTTGGCTGACATCTTGTCTAGGCTTGTCTACACGACGACACCACTCTCGACGAACTCCGTGAGGAAATAGAAAGTGTAGATGAGGAGCAAGAAGAAACCCGTCTGGATATCCAGAAGGTGGGGCAGATGCTAGAATCGGCCCAAAAGTTGACCTACCTTTCGCTAGCCACCGTGTTTGTCAGGAAGGTCGACTTGAAAACACGGCACACTGGCCAACGCACTGACCAACACACCAGTCGACAGACAGGCCGACGAGAAGACAGAAACACCCAAACCAGTTTGCAAAGTCCACCTCGGGCACCCCTTCTACATGGCCTAGCAAAAATGTGTGTTTTCGTATGTATGTTTGCATGTGTGTTTGCGTGTATGTTTTGGACTAGATTGAAGCTATACTACAGGTACTTCGACTCCCTTGGGAACAGCAACGCGACTTCTTCATCGTCTTTCCTTTTCGAGTGGGTGAGTGTCAGGTTTTGCCATTGTTTTTGCATTTGTTTTGTATTTGTTTCTATTTTGGTTGCCGAAACTCACCGGTGCCATACAGGACATCAAATGATGCCTTCGATCGCTCGTGGATCATGATTTTTAGGGGTCGCTGGAAGCTGAATTAGCCAGACATAACGCCATTAGGATTACTTGTCCTCGTTCCTTATACTACTAATGTAATTACACTGGAGGTATGTGTGAAAGAGTTATTCGTTTTTTTAAATCAGTTAAACAGATTAGATCTTCTGATATGATAATTGCTTGATGAATAACTTTCCCAGGTCTTCTGAATTGAATGAAACAGATGTACCCGTTCAAGTATTGTCCACATCATGGTGCTTACGCTGCATGTACAGCTCACACGCCACACGCCAATAAAATATCAAAACTAAACCGGAACTCCCCTTTCCCCTTTCCACCCCTCTAAAAAAACAAAACAACAACAAAACAAAGAAAAACCAAAAAAACCAAAAACAGAACCCCCCCCAAAACCCCAACAACCCCAAACAAAACCAAACATAACAGCTACGACAGGACATTGACCAACAACCTGTGACAAAATCCGTCGAAAAGAACATTTTAGGGGGAACTGATGGGATTTCGTAATATTTCACTTTGAAAGCTGAAAATTCCGATCGCGTTAGCCCGGTTTTCTCCTCTTCAACCATAATAATATACAATATATTTGAAATCACCATAAAGTTAATTGATCGAATGGGTGAAAGAGTAAATCGAGTTTCTCTGAGTTTGTGTGAAGCCTCCTTTCAGTAATTAAATGGATGAATGGAACGATGAGGGAGATTGAGCTTCTTGTTTCATGAGTGTGTTGTAGAGAGTGAGAAGGTGATGGATTTTTATTGAGTGCGAGAGATTGTGAGGGAAAACTTTTCGTTGAGTGAGTGAGTGACTGAACGAGGTTGTGTCTGCACGACTATGTTAAAACAGGTTTATGTAAGCGGTCTCATATGTGTACGACATCCAAAACACAGGTCGTTATAGTTTTAAGACCCGTTAACGTTACCTCCCAGTAAGTTGCACGTCAGTGCTTCGTACATTTCTTGGGGTAGTAGTTCTTCCTACGGTATGATGGCACACAAAACCAGATGATTGAGACTGAGAGCTTGTATTTCGAAAACATATCTAATATGTGTAAAAAAGGAGCAATAAAAACTATTATCTCTCACGTTAGCGATTTCATAACAGTGAACGATACTGACCCCTAGTAAGCACCGAAAGACTACTACGTGGTTTTGTTATTCAAAACATGATATATTTTAAAATTTAAAAAAATAATGAAATATGTATGTTTGTAAAAGTACTCAGTTACTGATGGGCATTTTAGGGATATCATTTTTTTTTAATCAATACATTTGCTATTTTCGGGTCAAATTCTCATTATTACAAAAATAGTCGGGATCACGAGGTTGGGCATTTTTTACTTATCCCTGTCGACATCTATGAAATACATGTATATAATAGACACTCTTACAAAACCCCAAACAAACGCACAGGCGATTTTTTAGAATATTGGACTCATGTAGCTGCGTCAAAAACAATACAAATGTGCTATTTCTTTCCAAAATGTCATCTTTGTTTGATTGTACGAAGCTTCACTTTGTTCCCTTGTTTTACAAATGTGCTTTGTGACTGAGTGGGTTTAGTGTTATACCACACAATATTCCAGCCATATGTCGGCAGTTTGTAAATAATCGAGTCTGGACAAGACAATCCAGTGAACGTGATCAAGAGCATCGATGTACGCAACTGGGATACGATGAATGTGTCAACAAAGTCAGCGAGCATGACCACCCGATCCCGTTATTCTCCACTTATGACAAGCATGGGTTACTGAAGATCAATTCTTACCCGGATCTTCACGGGTATGTATTCAACGTGTCAACAGTCATGGGGATAAATAATATCAGACCATCTGAACTGCTTCTATATTTTATTGCACAACTAGTATGCGCTGTTTTGGCCTGCGATGCTGCATGTGGTCAAACATGATGGTCATCTACTTCCTGGCAGCAACACAGGAGTTACCACTGATGGTGTAGGCGGACGCTGCGGCCTGAACGGCACCCCTGCAATGTGAAGGTCCATCGTCAGACAGGAATGAGGAATTATTACTTCAGCATTCCCTTTAATTTGGGTTTCCTCTGTTCAGCATTAAGCAGCCCCTACCCTTTGTCGAAATGGCTTCATACTA